GTGAAGAGAGAGAGAAACAACTTCTCGAACGCTTAGAAAAACTAAAGAACGATCAAACATGTAACGCCGAATACGAGCGATCCGTCGCGTTGAGAGTACTCATCGAAGAATACCGAAACATCGGCAACCTGGCCCATATCCAGAAGAAGATCGCTGAACAGGAAAAAAACCTGCATGGCTTGAAGGACGAAATCAAAAACCAGTACGAACTGTTAGCCTCACTGGATTAGATTTTTTTTAGTGAATATCCGTTTTTGTTCTGTATTAAAGTTTTGTTTTTCAATAATGTAGGGTTGAGTTTGTTTTTCATTATTTTCATAAAAACAGCATACGAATAATCGAATATACAAGGTGTTTTGGAACAAACTTGTACAATTAGTCCACAGTACGTCCCACCCCTGCTTTTCTTCATTACAACTTATTTAAAACTTTTCCTCTGTACTTGCAATATCAGACAATAATTGGCTGGCGGTTATAGGCTTAATGCCTAAATGTAAACTAAAGGGTCAACAGAGGCAGCTTCATCAAAGAACTCGCTCAAACTTGTTACATTTAGTCATTGGGAAATGTATATTATCCGTCACATGTTTTAGTGTATTTTTATACATTATTTCAAAATGAAAAATTTAAACTTATGGTAATCATACCACCTATCGTAAAATGACATATTCAGGTCGTCTAACTGAAAAAAAGGAGGTGTAGATTTGGCGGTTACTATGACTGATTGGTTGCATTTATTAAACAATTCTACGAAAATTAAATATGTTGTAGATACTTAATTTTGTGGATACCCAAAGTTTCACATCCCAAAATATATTAAAGGGTGATGTCTTATGATGAATGATGATGAAAAAATTAAAGTATCTCCTGAAAAACATAGTTTTTGTGATTGCGTCACTATTCTGAAGAAGAGGCGATACTAAATATAAAAAATGTCCATTGTGGTTCGCAAGTCATTTTTTAATTGAAGAAATGAGCAAAATCAATAAATCACCCTGTGGTTACAATCAAATTTATTAAATATAGGTTCTTTAAAACTACCTCGCTCCCTATCTACCCCTAATGCGAATTTCCCAGTAAATCACCATGTAAAAAAAAACCTTTAAAATTTGAACACGCTGTATAATAAATGACGGAACATTTTCGGACATTGCTTTATTACCTAATATGATGTATTTGTAGGAATCCTTATTAGGGCTTTATTCAACGTTTATTGAACCTTTTAAAGAAATCTGAGGCTAAGGTGATAAGACCATTTTAACATATCTTTTTAATATTTAGGGCCAGTCTCTTCACCTCTGAGTAAAGTTGATAGTGCTGATTAAACTATAGGGCTATGGCTCGTTAATTTGTCAAGTAAACCTACATGTAACTTTACTCAGACGTGAAAAGATCGGCCCTTAACATAACATTTGACATACGTTTTTGACTATCGACGTGAAATTTGTATTGTTAGAAATCACCTTTGTTAAAGTATTTTTCTTAAAACTATAGTTTTCCAAATCGCACCTCAAATTTTCGATGAATTTTTTTTCTTGTTTGTAAATTGGAAAAATAAAAAAATCATTTTCATGTAAAATTTGAGTTTATTTTTTTCATAATTATAAATTATAATACAAACAAAATGTATAAGCTTAGGTTTAAGCAATAATTTAAAGATAAATGAGACACATTGAAAACAAAAAAATTACAACTTTTATAGTAAGTATACAAGTTCCCTCCGAAATTCTAAACCTACAAAATTACACAACATAAACGGTCAAAGGAGGGCAAAACAATTTTGTGGGTTTTTTTTTTAATTATTATATCAACAGTCATATTTTTTTTATTTAAATAAATAAATGTGCCATTTACACTTCGAACCGAGGATCTACTCTTGGTTCGAATTCTAAGCCATAACAAAATTTAACAAAGTGTTTAGTATCTACGCACAGTTACAAAAATCGCCTATGTATATACATAACCATCAACACGGGACGACTCTGCATAAAACACTTTTTCAGAACACCTAAGACTAAAATAAAATAAATTTGGCAACACTGTTGCAATCTACAGGGTGTTTCGGTAAATCGAATGACGCAAAAATGTCACGATACAATAAAAAAAGTTCGTTCAATTGTCATGAACCTTGTCCTTTTTATTACACATGATTATTAAAAAATTATAAAGTAATCATTTATAAATTTTTAGGTTTTTTCACCAGATTAGAATAATTTATCCATTACAATTTGTTTTCACACTATAGAACAAAAAATATTAAGTTATTTTGTAAAGAGCCATCCCGTATACAAACGAATAGTTTTAATTAAAAAAATATGAGAAGATTCAAATATTTTTTTGTTGTCTGCAAATATTTACAATGTTGTCGATAAACTCACTTATAAAATAGAGATAAAACGTTAAATTCAGTTATGACTCTCAGCTTCAGGCTATTCGATACATGGCGGCTAAAAAATAACGCACCCTACTCGTAGTTTTAAATGTACGCCATCATCGAAATTTTCCTATCTTCCTCGTTTACAACTTACATTACAATAAATTATCGTAAAAACATTTCAAAACGTCACTCGCAATATTTTACTAAAAGCGATCACAATGCATTTCTCTACTGCAAAATTAATCGAAATATACGGGGTGGGTCAGTAGGACAATCACTTTTGAACAATTTGATATAGAAAATTAATTCGGATAAAATACGATAACTACTGAAAGTAAATGTTCGTTGATTAATAGTATAGAATATCTATAAAAAAAAATTAATTCAACCAGAAATTAGATGTCCTTAGAACCCAATGCAACGTTTTTTAACTTAAATGTAAAGTTATTGGCATTTCAAAGTATTATATCCATATTTTTTCGGGAATTTTTAGCAGTTGTAAAGACAAGTTCACCAGGCGTCAATGTTATATCGAGAAATGTACAATTTTGAATAAATAATTTCTAATTTAAGATTCTCAAACTAGAAAAAGATTGTTGAACTCACTGTATAGTGGCTTTAAAAGGGAAAGTCTCATATCAATGAAAAGCTATGTTTTAAATGGTATAAAATGTGTAATCAAAATTATTTTCAAATAAAAAAGTTGCATTGCATTTTAAGTACTTTGAAACACCTTGTTTGGTTAAAAGTTATCGAAGGGGGAGAATACTTGTTAATAAGTTGTAGGGAAAGCAAAATTATATACAATGCCTGAATTATGTTCCTATATCAAACAATTGAGACGTTATGGAACAAACTAACATTGACTCACCCTATATAAAGAATATAATAAATACTTATGGCAGTTATGTCTCATGTAAGTATCAGTATGAACCCACCTTAATAAAAAAAATGTATTAAAAACATTTATTTTTATTTTCCTGTATGTATACAGAAGAATAGTGTAGGAATCATGATTTTTTTTATGTACATATGAACAATATCATTAAAACGAAATTATATTTTTTTAGCCACCATGCAGATTACGAAAAATATCACAAAATGAGAAAACTGAACAAAAACTTAACGAGAAATGTACAGAAGAATAAATCCCTTAAAATAACTTGTACGAGTCCAAAATATAAAAGTTGGCAGAAAAATATACTTAAACGTTAAAACCTAAATTATAAAAAAACTAAAAATATTTTTTTTTTAAAATGCTTACAAAAATTTTATTTCGAAGTAACAATTTCAAAGAAACCACATTTTTAATCATTAAAATATTGAATACAAAGAAAAAATGAGGTCTTAAAAGTTTCATCGTATTTTGGAAAGGTCGAGGAACAATGAGTAGCTTAACTTCTTAGACAAAATAAAAAATGCAAGTAAAAAACTTCCACGCGATCAGCGCCCTCCATCTCTCATTTTAGCCTCTAACCAGCAGTGCTTTGAAATTCAAAACCCGTCAAAATATTACTGAAGTGATTTTAAGAATTATTTTGATAGATCATTCAATATAACTATTAACTTAAGACTATCCTGCTTATACTCATCTGACTTAGCTCAGTGCGATTTTTTGATATATCTAAAGTTAAAAGCTGTCATATGTCATGTGTTTCGAAAATTTTGGTAAAGAACAACATACAGGGCATTTCAATCAAAACTTTTGTATCATTCCCGAAAGTTTTAAAAATGTGCAAATAATAAATTAGATTTTGGGGAAGGAGACATTTCGATAAAACATTTGAATATACTAATTTACGGATGGAGGGGGATTGAGAAGTTTCTTTAAATACTTCCATTGATGTTTGTTTTTGTTTACTACACAAAAAAAAAACTAAAAAGCCTACTTTTTACAAAAAAAAAAAAAAAAACTTTAATTTCCTTTATTCTTCTGTAGAATTCAAGCTTTTTCATTTAACAAAGTCACCAAACCGACGGCAGACTTTTTTGAAAAATTAATTATACTTTTGATTGTGGCATTTTTTTGCTTTCAACTTCATCAACAAACTGCGTAAACTACCCTACTAATCTATTTCAAAGGTTTTGTTTTCAAAAACGTCTGCCTATTACGATGGAACCCCACAAAGGAGAACTTAGAAATTATTGTTAATTATTTTTTCCTAGATATTTACATTGAATTTTTTTTTCACGAGGTTAAAGACAAACTGTGTACTTAATAATTGCTAAAAAAGCGCTAGCTATATTTTTTTCTTCTATATAATGAGTGTTATTTAAATTTAATCCTTCTTACAAAAAGAAAACAGTGCTACATAGAAAAGTGGCTCTTCCATTTTATTTCTTTATTTTTACGTTTGTTTCTCCTAGTATCCTGATATTTACATATCGGTTAATTTCCGTATCTAATTTGCGGATTAAAATTAAAGAGGAACATGCTCAAAGAGGAAAAATGCTTTCCAGCCAATATAAAATGTGTGAGTTACGTTTTTGTTTTGTTTTTATAATATATACATACATATCACATATTCCTAACGCCCGTTTTATTTCCATCATTGACAAATGAACGTGCAGGAGGCAACCAAAGCGAAAAAGTGAATGAAACGTTCCCTAGTCGCCATTTTTTTTACCTATCCTGTCGGTTTTTGTTTCGCTGCGCGACATCCGGCAGTTCGGCAGAATTGTCACTGTTCTGCTGCTGCGGCGGTTGCTCCTCCGCGATGGGGGCGGTTTCGTCTAGGGCGGGAGGCTGTTGCTGCTGCTGTGGCTGCTCCTCGCCCATCTCTTCCTCTTCACGCTCTACCTCGGGCATCAGTTCCAGCGCTTTTTCTAAGGTCTTGCGCGCGCTGTTCGACCTAAGATATTCCGAATATTAATTTATTATACGTGAAGAGTCCTTTATATTACAACAACAAAATATATAGTGTTTAGTCAATAATTTTCATACTTTAATACAAATCTATTGAGAATATTCCTGATTTTTTGAAAGAATATAGATTGGCAGAAAAATCGATGTCTAACTCATTAGACTTTCTAACCACTTATAGAGTAGTCATAGTTTAATGACTGAAATGGCACAATAAACAAGTCATACAAGTCATTATTTCTTGTAAACTGTTAAGGTATGCGAAATTATTACGTTGAAGGATATATCTTTCATACCGTTATTTTTCAAACACCTCTAGTGTCCCACATCTTTTCTCAAAATGACAATTATGTGTCTGTCAATCGGTTAATTTTTTATTGTTTTTCTTTCTTAATTTAGAACCGAGAAGACAATTTTTTTATAAATCAAGGTGATCCGCTGATGAAGTCATTCTTTTAAGTCATTAGATTAAATATGATAAGCGTTATTTTTTTGTTTCATGCAATGATTACAAGGATTACACGAGATTTATCTGTTCAACTTTTGAGATTATGTTTTTTGTAAGACGACACGTTCTGAATTTGGTAGTTTCTGTAATAGTATATTATGCAACGATCATGTATTAATAATCATTACATGAGAGTTGTATACGCTATTTTTTCTACACCCGATAAATAATCAAGAACTATAAATCTTATATTTACGTTAATAACAGTAATTACTCATATTTCTATAAAAAATTCTACAAAATTGTAATTAATGGTATTACCTCGGGTATTGGTATTACCTCGGGTATTGATATTACCATAGATATTTTGTACTACATTTTCTGCTTTCTCTGATGTGTGGGAGATGGTCTTCTATATCGCTGATATCAGACATTTTGATAATATAAATATCGAAGTTTAGCTTTTTGACAACTAAAACAATTACATAAAAACCTAGGACAAACGTCAAATGCACAGCATGCTTGATTGAAAAATTATGGGTTTCTATTTTTTAAAAATCCGAATCGTTATGAAAAATCTGTATCATAATGGGTATCATTATGAAACGGATTATGGGCATATAAGTGCATTATTATAATACGGGTGTAGAAATATATACACATTAAGAATAGGACACAGAACAACTGCAGATTATCTGATTAAAAATAATACAAACGACACATGCTTAGATAAAATATTACTGGTGCCTGAAACACAAGTGTGTTGAAGATGAAAATTCAAAAATTATTAATGGCTATAGTTTTTTTATTTCTCAGTATAATGTTACTAAATTCGCTAAATATTTTTGGTGTCATAAGATACACCTATCGGCGAAACAATCAGTTAAACTTTGACAGTGGCGTACGGCATGGATTTAACACCTTCATCCCTTTTAAATTTTACGCCACTGTTTAAAAACTTATTTGGGCTATACTTTTACATTTTTTTATGCTTTTTTAATAAATCATGTATTCTTGTTGGGCACTCATAAAGTGATTTGTTTTCGAGATATGCACACTCATTGGTTGATTTTCTTGATACTAATTTATTTTTAATTTTTTTAAAAATTGCCAACAAGAGTATACGATTTGCGTTTTTTTTTTAGAAATCCTGATTATTTTTCATGCAATGTTCCCTATACCAAATAAATATATGGGGTGATCCATTTGAAATAACAAAGTTCATTATATTGCCATAAAACCGAAAGATCTGACAACAATGTAAATACAACCATAATATCGGCCGTATTATAAAACCTTTACATACCAAAGTATATAAAAATTGAAAGCCGTTTCCAAGATAATTGAGGCATCCCATACTTAAAACTCACTGTGTATATTTTATTATACAAAACGTTCATCTCATCAGCCCTACTTATCCGATTTATCCATTAAAAGGTTGAAAATCTTTTAGCTTTGCAAAATTTGGATGGTTGTTCTTTGTAATATGAAGACTGAACTATTTTGAGGCTACAAGGATTTGCTGATTTGGATAGTAATTAACGTCTTAAAGTCCTATGAAAGTATAATAGGCTGTTTGGAGACTAAAAATATTTCGATGCTCTAATTCTACTACCCCGTAATTGCATGGATTGACATTTTACAGGAGAAGCTTTTTTAGTTTAATAGTACTATATATGATTGCAAATACGGTTATTATAGTCAAATTTCTCATGTAAGCAAAACGGTGTATTTTAAGTAATGACAGAGTAAATGTACAATTGAGTGGCGTGAAAAAGTGAAATTTAAATTTTTTGCAGATACGGGGTATTAGAATTAGACTATCGATTTACTGATTTGGATAATAGAGAAAAATTACAAATGAGACCTCTTTTACCATTTGATGGAGCCATACCTCATTGGGATGAGTCAATTAACTTGTTCAGAAATAGATAACTTTAAAAGTCATTTTATCACAAGAAACTCTTGTAGTTAAGAATTTGGTTTTTACAGTATTTTCTGAAGGAATATCCTTTATTTGCATTAAGATTTAATAGTAATTTTGGTTTCCGTATTTTTATCAATTACATTCATGATTAAAGTTATGCAAATTCAAATACGGTGGTGCCCAACTCTAATTTCAGGGTAATTGAATTATTACATCCTACAGCCTAATCCACGTCCCTTATTAATGAGCTTTAATCACTTAAATTGTAAAACCAACAACGCTGGTAATTAATTAATCCCAAAATAAATTTGAATAATACAATAAGGTCAAACGCAGAATATGAAAGCAATGGAAATTGTGATTGTGCAGAACAAAACAGTGAAATATTTGTGTATGGTTCTCACCTTTCGAGGAAGTAGCCATTGGAGCTTTCGTTGCTCTGCGCCGGCGGTGACCAGGTGTTGTAGGAGAACTGCGCGTTAGGCGGGTACTTTCGTTCGAGTTCGTCCTGTAGCCACGCCACCGCTGAAGCCCAAGATCTCCTGACGTCCGCTTGTCGCATCAGCATCGTCTGGGCGGCCGGGCATCGATTGAAAAGCGCTACCATACATTTGATGCACTGATACGCCCTCTTTTGGTAGTGATTCTTGGCACGGTTGATCGTTTCCAAAAGTCCTTCCCGTTCTTCTGCAACACCTTTAACAACAATGCATTCATTAATTTAAAAAGAACATAAATTTGTATGAAATTTTAAATTCTATACTTTCAAAATATATAAGAAAACAACAATATATGTATTACCTTTGATGGCATTGTGTATCCTATGGGTCTGCCATGAGTCTTCTATTAGCAAAATTGATAATAAAATTTCAATATGATGCCTAAGTTCCTGACAATAAGCGTAGGCTATCTGCCATAACAGCTCTGAGAGTATAGTTCTAGAGAAATGCGGGTTTTCCCACGAGCAGAACTGCAAAAATTTAATAGCATCTTCAGTCAAATTTGTATCTTCTATCACTTTTTTAATATATCTGAAACGAAAAAAAAAAAAAAAAGTTATCAGCAACTAGCAGACTCAAAATTAAGTACCAAAAACGATAGAAAAAGATTATTCAGCCATAATAGGAATAACTAACTGTGCATTACCCATATAATATTCAATATTTTTGTGGGTACATATGTGCACCAACACGATAACTCTAGAATGAAAATACCACTTATGGTATTGATTTTACTTGAAAATTTCTTTTCAGAATTTTCGGTTTAACTTTAGTGTTTTAAAACAATGCATTTATGAATCTTTTAAAGGATTTTCTTACAAGAGTGTTTATTTACTAAAAGTGAAAATAATTGTTATAAGTTGAAATAAATGTGGATCTTAAGCAAAAAACATACAGGATGGTGAAATGACGATGATTTTTGCACGAGTTTTAATGAACTCCAGAGGGAAACTCGTATCTGAATTTATTATTAGGATAAAAAATAAAGAGTCCACATATTATGTATACATGGACACAGGTTAGAAAAGGAAAAAAAGTAATATTAAAAACGTTATAAAAAATTATTTTAATTATCCAGACAGAGCAGAAGAGATAGGAGAGCAAATTAGGTTGAAAATGGAAGCAAATTAAAAGTAGATAAACATCGTGAGCAGAGGAACAGATAACAAATAGAGATTAGAATTTTGGCAAAATAAGGAATGAGAATCATCACAATATAACATTTTTGATATATACAGTTTGTGTCATAAAGTTGGATCCATATGGTTTTTTTTTTTTAATATTAGGAATGAAAAAACGTCGTATGGCAATCACTTTCAAAGCTTTCTGTCAAATTCGTATTTAAAAAAATAATTTTGAATGATTTTTCAAAAAACATCGAATTTGACATACTAGTCTAACTAATACAGTATCTAGCCAACTTTGATATGGGTTATTTTAAGTTTTTAAAAAAGCAGATGTGAATGCAGTACGATGTTTTTTCCAATCGTAATATTAAAAAAATCCCATATGGATCCAACTTTATGGAACACAGTGTATACATATTTTTATTTTTGTTGTATAAATATAAAAATTGAAAAATGTAAATCATCAAATGATGATAAGGTGATAAAAAGTTTTTTTTATTAATTATCTCCTAAATAATGATACTGTAAAAGGAGCCTGTAGTAAACCCTGAGGTGTAAAACAAAGAACAATTATTCATTAGCCATGTTTTTTATATTTTTTATTTATTCAAAATTAAGCTAGTTACAGGGGTTGTCAGAATAGATAAATAATAATTATAAACATAATTATTAAAAGTTAAAAAATCGTAATCAACGACATTGAATTGTTTTTAAAAATCAGGACTACTGTTTCTTGAATTTTATTTGAATTCGAGGAAGCCTTAAAGTACTTTTCCAAGACCATTGCATCTAAAAGTCTCAAATTGTTTACTTAACAACCTGTCAAAAAACAAAAAATAAACTTACACAGTCCTATTGAAGAGAATTTCGGCAGCTTGACTGGATATGGGCATAATGTACTCCTGGATGGAGGGATCTTTGTATGGATTCGGTAATACGGGACCTCCGTTACTACTCTGGCATTTACTGCTCACATCGCAGCACCTTATTAAACAAGATACTAATTGATTAAGTTTTCCTAATTCAGTGAATTGATATTTTATGGCCGGGCCGGGGCCCTCGTCGAGCGCTACCATCATGAAAGTCGCCGGAACGTTCATCCTAAGCAGCTGCGTCTTCTCTTGAACGCCTGAAACAATACATTTATCATTACTTGGACTGACTATTTTGGACTATGCGAAATACAGCAATCGTTTGAGACAACATTAATTATTTATTTATTATTAAATAAACACAGGGAAAATATACAGTGACATGACACAACAAGTCATTGTTTTCTTGTAAACCTTTGAGATATATGAACAATTGAAGCAAGTTGCTGTAATTAATTAATCCCAAACAATATTTGAATCACACAATATATTTAATGATCTCAGTAAATCCTCATATGAATGTTATCTATGTCTTAAACCAAATTTGTAACCACAAAACCTTAAAAACGTATTTTGAACAGCTTCAGAAGATGAAATGTGAATATTGTAAAAAGATGTGCAAATCATACTCTAGCAAAGATCTGACATGCACAACACAGCACTGTGACTGAATTAACAAAAAGACCATTTGAGTCTCTCAGTATAAGTGTTTTTGATGATTAGATGATTAAAGTGGAAATAATTTAAAATTTTAATAAAACGAATCGTTGAAAAAATTGGAGGTGCAATAAAATAATATCTAAATTGACTAAATTTGCGGTTTGAAATTTTGTTTTTTTTTTTTGTACCTGTGTGATTGTGGGATTTTGTATAGATTGTTAAGTTTTACAATATGTTTAATATATTGTAGAGAAACTAATTGTAATTCTTACTATTTTTTTTTATTGTAAAACAGCATTCTACAGAATTACAATTTATGTAAGTTAAATATACTAGTCTATTTATTGGAAAACGTTTTCTGTCGAAAAGTTCGTTTTTTATTATATATTATTTTTAAGAAACATTTTTGAATTACTTTAAATTTTTTTCAATTACTCATATTTGGAAAAAGTTATGCATAGCAGAATTTAAATCGTTAACAGTAAGAAATTACTCCCAATTGATTGATGCAAAATATTTAGACTAATACAGTTAGCTTAGAAAATACTTAAGTGATGGGTATTGTTAAATATATACATATTTTTAACTGTAAATAATAAAGACTGAATACGCCTCTGTACAAGCACAAACCCTTAGTAAAAAAAATATTATTTAAAACGCAGTCACACAGGAAATTGAACAACTATAAGCAGTATAAACTTGATGCTAGTTTTGCTGACTTCACGAAGAAGCTAAAAAAACATTTTTAAATACCGAAGTGAATTGCAGATACTTTCATTACATTTACAACAACAAATAACTAATAAACTTTAAATAAAAAAAATGTGAACCATAAAATGCTTCTTGTTGGGCACATTTCTTTCAAAACCTTCAAGATACCGAGAACTTCTAGACTGCAGAGGCCATCAGGTAAAAATGCGAAGGAAGATAAACTAGCAAATAAAAATAACATTTTTTCATGTATATTGCAGCACTTACCTTGATTGGCATACGTATGGAACACACTGCAGTAGTGAGGTAAATGCCGACCGTGCTCGCTGACTTCCCTCTGCAGCAGACTCAGCAGCGCCCAAAGAATGTGATCGCTGAGAGAGCCAGTGGTGTCGTTGTTGTTGAACGCAGCAGGTGGCGGCGAAGGGCCGTCGTTGATGGAAAAATGCGCTAAAAGTACGACGATTTTGATGAAGGCCGATCGGACCTCGTTGCTCGGACAGCTCAGTAGGTATTCACAGAAGCGTGACATGTGGTTGAAGAGCATGTTGTGCGCAAACCACGACCGTATCACGGGAGAGGTACGTAGATGCAGACAGAGGACGTCACACCTAAAAAATACAATTTGCTTAAATTATGACTATTTTTGGTAATTAGAACGCCTCTCACCATTCCATAGCGGGACCCCTGAGATTTTTTTTGGTATGCCACCCAGTGTGGAAGAGGAAATTACTGACTAGTTGCACACTGAGGAGGTACTGTTGCTCCAATTGGTCGTTCGGCAACGGCTGACTATGCCTGGTGTTGCCTTGCGCCGAGCTGGTTGCTAATTTTCTCACGAACGTGAAATATTCTAAGGAAAATTGACTCCTATGATGTAGGAATTTGATGTTTTGCTTTCGTATGCTGTTCTCTATCGCGACGGGCATTTTCAGATGCGTTTCTTTTCTCGTACCAGCTGCAAACAGAGAGACAATGCAAAACGTAAATGTCAAATTTAAATCGAACCAAATTACTAAACTTACAAAGTGTTAACTGACTCATCATTTTCAAGGCACTCTCTTCTTCGATGTCATGCCTTGTGTAAAACAGCATGTACGCATTCCACCACCTTTTTTGCCTCCTGTATTACAGAAAAATGCACTTTTATAAGTTTTAAGTTCATTATAATAATAATAATAATATGTAAGAAATAATACAAAGTTTTATATAATTTGGGACCTAGATACAAAAACGATTGTTGTCCTACTGATTTGTATCAGGAACAGTATGGAAATGTTTTTGCCTTGTGCTATGTGGATGATCTGGTAAGTTAAAAAAAATGGATGATGATATCATTTGTGACGTTGAGGAGTTGTTTGCAGAACAAAACTATTTTTTAAAGGAATAAAAATTACTTTATAAACTGCTAAATGTGAAAATCTTAAATAGGGATTATTATAAATAAATAAAATTTGGTTTTGAAATATTGTGGCATTTTATATAATCGACTAATTATTTATGAATACGAGCTCGTATGTCATTCATTACTGGCCCATTTGAAAAGTACTAAAAAAACATTTGTCAAACTGGATAGTTAAAAAAGTCAAAAAGATATTTAAACAGTCAAGAACCAAACAACACAGTACATCAATTACATCAAAGAACAAAATTACATAAAAAAAGTGTTCTTGAAAATTGTATGTCAATGGCCAAGAATTAAAAACAAACAAAAGTTCTAGAATTTAAAAAATGTACATATATCAAACAATTTGTGTAAACAGATGATCAAAAATAACCAGATTAAAATGAGGCAAATTCACTGAACTATTAATTTTAATAAGGCTTATTTTAAAAACGAGTATACATTATAGAAATATCAAGCTTCGAGATAAGGACTTACCTGTAAGTCGTTCTTTTCAACATGGGATCAAATACTTCACCCATATAGTCACCGCCGAAACACTGCACCTTCATTTCTTCTTCTTCTCCCATTCTGCACTCCGATACATCACCATCGTCAAATTTATACCACCTAATTTCCCCAGAGAGATCCCTACTTCTAATATACGAGTAATAGTGTCCACCTGAAAGTATCAAAAAAATCATTGGCAGTTTATAGAAATGTATAAAACATTGCGAAATGTAGCATTTTTTTTATAGCACTGCTTTAGTTTTGAAATGTCCATGGAAATATACATGGTGGTCCATTAGTGAGTGGAAATCCTGTTTCTTTTATTTTTAATATTTCAATTAAAATAAAAATTTGTCAAAAACTATCACTTTTAGCGCCAATATTATAATAACAAATGAAATATTATACTGGGTGTCCAATTAAAAAAAAAAAACTAAGTATTAGATGTATAAAGATTAACAAGTTGGTGCCCATGTATAAAATCGCCTGCACATTAAAAAATAAACTTTTTATCATCTCACACGATTCAGTTAACCCTTATCTTTGTATTTACCAAATATTTTAATTTAACTGTCAATAACAAATTTGCTTTTTAATATTTGTCATAGTTTTTAGTATTTGTTCACATTTTGTGCCCTAAATTGATAACGTCGAAGAATTACAAAAAAAGGTTAGTATTGCACATATTTTACGATAAAATCAAAGTTGAAAAAATATACAGGTTAAGTCATTTAAAAACATATAAGTCCCAATGTAACGGAACACAGTAGCAGTATTATATAAATATTCAAAAAAGTAAACCCAAAAACTTTTCTCCAAAACATTTTTTCATATTTCTTAGAATAAGGGAGATATTGGACTTCCTCGCACTAATTAATGGGCCACCCCGTATATCTCGAAAACCCATGGTACAGAGCAAGGCATTTCCTATAAAAACGGACAGTTTCAATACTTCAATATAGAGAAATCTGTTAAATACTGTATTAAACCGAAAACTATTATCATAAAGCATTTACTTTAGCTCTACTGATATGTCAAAAATGGTGTAAGGATATCAACAACTAAACTTACCGGAAGCTTGTCCAGAATGCACAACGATCCCAGACAGGCGATACTTGGTACACACGTCGCTAGTACTAGGATCTAGATCACAGTCAATAATTTCTCCTTCGATTTTCGCCAAGCCAGACACCGTGTAGGGCTCCATGTCGAGATCGCGCGGGAACTCGAAGTAATCGTTGAATTTGATGGCGCACACTCGTTCGAAATCGTATTCGAACCTCTTCAATTGGATACCTAAGATAGGCGGCAGTTTTTTAACACAGAGTCGCTTAACAGTCACTACTTTTTTCGCGCACTTCTCACAGTAGTACGCGTCAGCACCTTCCAGCAATTCGCCTAAAATTCAAATTTACAGTACCTGTTTACTTTCTGTTCACTTTTTTATAAAAAATTGTGAGTTTAAATATGATGAAAAAAATATACCTTTGACATATTGCTCCATGGAATCCGGCAGGCTGCTGTGGTTCCTAATATCTACACTAATCACACTAAATGGTTCTTCTTTGGAATAACGGTGCGGACAACCTTTGCAGATCTTCTGATCCGAATAGGAACCGCCCAAAATTTTCGACATTATCTGCTCGTGACCCAAAGTTTTTAAAGCTTCATCCAGACTTTCCACTAGTGACATAAAAAATTCAACTGCGTCTTGCTGTTCCCTTAGATTCACTGGTTCGCCTAAAACAACAAATTACACTTCATGAATGCGATTCGAAGTACTATTTGTACAATATTTCCATACCTTGAAGTTTGAAATGTCTCCAAAGTCCTCTAGGCACATAATATTGAAGGCGCGAACAAGCAAGATGGCCGAATATGGCTTGCACTTGCTTTAATATACCAACGTTGTAATCTTTTCTGTTATCGTCCAAACTGTTTCTGTCGTCCGTACAGTCGACGTCTAAATCCAGTCGCTCTTCGCCAGTAAAATCTTCGTTTGGATCAGTAGCTGCACCTAAATCGAATCAATTTCAGTAAACACACTCAAATCAATCTATAAATATTTACCTTCGGCATCCAAGATGCCTTCCTTAATGCTATCAACCATATACAACTGCTGCAATACGGAATTCATGTAGCAAGTTGCGCCGGCATTTTTCAAACCCACGAAACCTTGAAAAGGACGAGGACCAACGGCGGGAAGGTAGTCCCATTCGGTTATTGAGGTTTCGGAATCTGAAACGAAAACTGAATGTTCACGTATGTAGAGAAACAATCACAACATAGCAAAATTAAAGACATGAAAAACAAAACCGAAATAAATATATAGAATTCCACCACAAATATTAGTTCCGAACGTACAACCAGTTTCTTACCAAAGCAGAAAAGGAGTATAGTGCATTGAATTGAGTTAATTGAAATAAGGATCTTTAATTTAGTTTGATAAGGAAGAACATTAGAAAATAAAGAGGGATGGCAAACAATAAGCAATACAGAAAACTTTGGTGAAATCAATAGGTACAGAAAGTCCAAAAATTATGTCCAATAAAAGGCCAAATGCTCAAATAAACTTTAAAAACGCTGAATCATTAGCATAAAAATCCTAAACCAAGTACAAAAAAGCTTGAAGTACTAAAAACCGCTATAATAAGTATAAAAAATGATCAACCAAGGAACAGAAATGATTGATTAAAAGCAATAATTCTAAGGTACAGTCCTATAACTTTTATTGCAAACTTTCTTTTGTATTTACAAACATAATTTATTTAGCAATTCAAGTATGTTCGTATGTACATGGAAGCAGTTCATAACAACTACAAAAGGTTTCCACTTAAGAGATCCATACTGTCAAGTAATTTTGTAGGGTTCATGTACTAGCAATAATTACTTCGTTAAAGAATTGTTATTGATTTATTTAAAAATATATTTAAGGGGACTGTTTAGGTTTCTATAGATACTTTTATGGAAAATTGTTTAACTTGCAGTTTCAGCAGTGAAAGTGGATCAATGAATTACCTAAACAAAGTATTATAAATCAAACGGGAATAAAAGTCGACCACCGAACGTTTTCCAATAAGCATTGTACAAATCCATGTAAAAACTACAGACAGTTAGCATTAGTGTGAGCAGGAAATAAATAATATAAACTAACAACGCTGATATTATTCGTTTCCTGCTCGCGCTAAAGCTAACTCTCTAGTTTTCACTTGCACAAAGCATATTGGAAATCTTTCAATAGCCGGTAACTGTATATATATTTACTAAATTTGCATACTGTGATATTAGCAAAACCGATCAGCAACAATTTCTTACCAGAATAAAACATTTCCGTCAACATATTGACCAGCTGCTTGTAGTTCTGTACGCAGTTCAAGCACAAAGCGATGAGAAGATCAAAAGCCGCTGCTTGAGTTTGGGGAGTATCACAAATTGGAATAGCTGGATCCTCTCCCAATTGACCTGTCTTGTTCAGTCTCAACATCAACTTGCTGGCCGGAAACAAGAAGTCTTCCAGCAATTCCTTGATCAGGCTACCGGATTCGGCGCTGCCCAATTCGCATTTTTGCTCCGATGAGATGAAGAGCAGGAGTTCTTTGGCTAAGAGGAGATGTCCCTCGATTAATACTTCGTGCTTATCTCTAGCTTTACGTAACCACGCGACCTGAAAGTGTTATGTAGTTAATAACGGTAGTTTTAAAAAGGTTGCTGCATCAAACTTACTTCGTTAGACAGCAGGGTTTCCACGCCGTTGATGGGACAGCCAGTGAGGTACGCAACATTGACAAGCCGACAAAGCAGCTGAAAAAACTCATGGGACGTATTGGCGTTTTCCACGACTATGGTGTTAATGAGAGAAAACAGAAGTGGCTTTATTAATTGCAGGGCTAATCGACTACCAGCGCCGCATGTACAGATGATTATCAGCTGCTCAGCAGCCGCCACTCGTATGGAACAATTGGGATTGACCAGGACTAAGTCGGTAACGAAGTAAGGCCACCAATTGTCCTGGTAGAGATGCTGTAGGCTGCTCGGATTTAAGACGACAGCGGTACTCAGTAATTCGAGAGCTTCTTTACACAACATCACATCCTCATTTATCAGATCCGCAGTACTTTTATTGCAAGCCTCCGATAAAGCGTGAAGGTTTTCTAAAGATGCGTTTACCGCGCCCAAATTGTTACTACTCGCCGCCCACACGAGCCTTACCAAAGCCAGGGTCGTCGCTAGATCAGGCAACTCCCAATTCAAGGCTTGGCTGAACAGAGCTTGCGCTTGTCCAGTATTTCCAGTTTCGGCGACCATCAGTTGGGCTAAACCCTGGGCTAGTTTTATGGATACTTGACGTAGAAGCTGTAACATATTAACCATCTTAATATATTCATTAATGCCCGAGAGAGAGCGTATTAATAATTATACTTATTTACAAAGTAGGAGGAGCGATTTGAATTGTATATGCCTAAACACTAGCTTCTTATTGCTTATTTGAGAGACAAGTTCACGTAGACCAAAATATCTAATATGGACATTTTTTATTTATGATTTGACCATGGTAGATATCTTTAAAAATTTTAAATATCGGTGTGCTTATTTCTTGTTATTTCTTTCTTTTTAATGACCTATTAATAATCCAAAATATAATTAATCAGTTCTTTTCAGGAGTAACTTATAAATATTCGATTCTGTATGGATATCGCCAAAAAGACATAAACAGTGTGATTTACGCCATTTATCTTTGGCGGAAAAACAAACTCACTTAAATTCACTTACGAGATCCTTACACCTCACCCCTTACTCAAATTACTAATAACATTCGCCAACTGAAGTACATATTTTATAGCTTAAAAGAAGTCTTAAAAAAAATAGTTATCATATATAGAACCATTGATAAGATCTGATATTTTGGTTTGGGATGGTTTATATGATAATGCCTCATAAAAATTAAATGTCATACATAAGATAATACTAGAAATCATCTATGACAAGAATAAATTCCCTACAAAATATTGTAAACCACCAACATAACACAAGAAATAAAGTCAATTAAAAAATTTGTATTCTGGTGGGTCCCAGAAGTAATAACCTATTTTTTTTTTTTTTAATTATTTAGCACCAAAAATCTATAATATGCTACCATGCAATATAAGAAAAATATCTTTAACAACTATAATTTGTTTAATGCACTATCTAAATAAGGGAAAGAATTATTATGTTAGAGTCAGCGAATTAGGATATCGCCGCCACTGGGTCGACGATACCACGTCTGCCCGTTGCAGTGTCTGTTAGAGTCAGCGAATTAGGATATCGCCGCCACTGGGGTCGACAATACCACGTCTACTCGTTTCAGTGTTCAGGACCAGGAGCGCCGAGAGCGGGGACTTGACTTCGACCAGCCGAACGCGATGAAGTGACAAGCCTTATGCCCTTTAAAGACATTCTTTATTTTGTTCCTTAATTAATTACATTTCAAATATTGTTTACGAGATATTTAATAAAACGTTATTAAACCATGTTAACACGTGTTTTATGAAGTGGCTATACAGGGTGTTACAGTATACAGGGTGATAAATCATTTAAAAACAATAATTTTGAAGTTAATTCTTTTAACTTCTAACAATATATTTTATTATTGCAATATTATATTTTTTTTTTATTTAGAAATAGCGGCCATACCGATTATGACATTTCCTTAATTTATATATTATATAATCCTCTGCTAATTTTCAGGTCGAACAAAAAAGTAGCCTAGCTTAAATCTTCTACATTTTCCGTTCGCCACTGGAAGAGACGGATTAACGCAAAAATTCCTGACATGAACCTACTTTAAAAATTATTAGCATATTTTATCTAAAATTGCAATTTCTGTAGGTAAAATGTTCTTTAAACAATAATAATAATAAATCATTACCTTAAAACTATTCTTTACCTGTTTATAAAATAAATAATGGGAAGGTACATCAAAATAAAAAAGATTGCAAAATATTTTAGTAATAGACCAAAAATGAAATAAAGTATAGCGACAAAATTGGTGTAGTGACGATTTGGTGCGGATTTTATTTAAAAGCACTTTTTTGCAAACAAACCATATTATACCCGAAGAAAAAACCTTTATTTAATAAATTAGGTAAACCAAATATATACAAATGACTAATATTGAGAAAAAAATAATATTACAAATAAACCTGTAAAAAAAATGCAAAATGTTTCCAAAATGAGATTTATAACAAGCTCTACTTTAAGTACTGATCTCGAATTTGTAGTTCCTCCTAAATATGTCATGTATTATAATATGCTTAATTTTATTTCTAAAAACCAAAAGAACTTATATATTCAAATTGAAATACATATTATAGATAGTTTCTTTTCTGTTATTATAATAGCTGATGACTACTAAAATATAATTTACTTATCACAGTTCCTTATAAAACAATTAAAAAACAAAAATGTCAATCTAAAATCACAATAATAATGTATAAAAAAACAGCTTTTTTGATTTAGTTTAGTGCTTGGTTTCCCTAGAGTACTAAAGCACAAGCAGATGTAGTGAAAACCTAAAAGAATTTAGATGTTTTCTTTAAAATTTATGAATTAAAATGGGGAATTTTCCTAATAAGTACAATTTAATAAATGTTGTCTTTATTTGTTGGTTACATAAAACGTTTAATGCATTTATAACAAAGTATTAAAATGCTCTGCTTCAAATTCAGATTCAAATTTACCGCCAAATTGATATTTAATAATTTTTAAGTAACTTTTCCCTGTGCAAATACTTTTTACTTCGCTCCTCCTAGTAAGCTTTCTTGGATCAACAAAGGATTGCGAGACCTAAGATATTTTAAAGGCTTTACTTACGTGATCCGAGTGGCCTGGGACGTTTCTCAACGCTTGTCTCAAAAACGTGCCAGGTGTTGTGGTATTCTCGTTGACAGACTCGTTTTCAGGTGGAGTATGGTCTTCGCTCAGCCTCACCAACACATGTGCTACCGAGGTCAGTATCAATTTACAAATTTTTAATACAACTAGATAAGCTGATCGCCTGGAGACGTTATCAGCGCTTGACATGAAATTATTTTTGGTTAGCATTTCTAAAAACACATGGGCTTCTCCGGATATTAGAAAACTGTATTGGAATTCATATGATTTTTCAGACAAGGCGTCCAAAGCGGGCATCAGCATGGAATACAGCACTTCCAAGTTGTACAGTACCTAAAGTATTAAAAAAAATTGTAGTATATGATATAAAATGAATTTTGTCGTCAAAAGTACCTCTGCAGGTGATGCGCTAAAAAACATAGTATCCATAGTGATATTCTGTTCTCCAGGAGCAGAAAAAAGCACCTTAAGTTTCTCCATTGTTATTATATCGCAGGGCATCAACTGGAGAAGTGCATGACCCATATCTCTCAACGTCGGGAACGGTAGAGTGCTGCCCACATTCATCAGCTGGCAGAAAAATTGAGCGTAAAACGGCTGTTGAGACATCAACACCCCAGGCAGTAAATTTTCCGCTTCTACATTGGGCCCATCATATGGATGGTGAGGCGATGAAGTTGAACTATCCGAACTACTGTCTTGCGACGACGCCATATTGGAATTTATTTGAACTACTTTGGCAGATATTAGCTGAAATTCATGTTTATATTAGTATAATAATGTATGAAGACATGAGAAAACCATCCATCAACTTTACGTTAGCATTATACGGGGGGGATCTATTCCTATGAATGTTTATAAATAATGTCACATTCTAAGTATAATGTTCAAATAAGTGTAAAAAAAAACTTAACTGAGTGTATAAAATGACCAATCGAGTTCAAAAAGACAAAAATTGTTAAATTATGTTTAAAAAGTGCAAAATTAAGCCATAAATATTCAATCAAAACGTAAAAAATGTTCAATTAGTTTCTAAAAAATCTTAAATAAAATTCTTGAGAACATTCTATCAACCTACAGATACTAAATTCATATAACTTTTTACGAATTTCTAAATTTATTTGCGTTTCACTAAAATACGGGTAAAAAAACTATTGCAGCTATGATGTATATTTTTTGTTTTATTGGTCGGTATATTTTAAGTTATTTGGTAAAAAAAAAAATAATAGCGGTTAATTCTTAAGTGCTGCCCTCACTTCAGATGCACCAAAATCTTGAAACTGAATTGAAAAATCTTTATTTAAATAGGTAATCCTAATATACAAACATAAGGTTTGTTCCCAATTAGATGTTATGATTAGTATCAATATCAACATTACACTTGGTTGGTCGTTGCATTTTAAGTCACGTGTGTGCCATGTGCCAATGTAGAATGTCATTTTTAACCTTGCCTTATTTCTTACCACAAACGTAGAGAGAGATGCAAATTTTGCATATATAAAACACTCTTAAAAACTGCAAAACACCAGTCAATCAAACAAAACTCAATAAAAGTGCAAAAGGCGCCCATTTAGATGTAAAATCGATCATTTAAGAGTAAGAAATGGTCAAAGTGCAAAAACAGCTCAATCATATAAGCAAAAAACTCTCAATCGCGGAATTTATTCACGAGAAACTTTAAGAAGTGACGTAAAATCGATTGGTTCTTTTATAACTTTCAAATAATTATTTAAAATATTTAAATAAAATAATAATTGTACTCACCATTTTATCTCTGATGGGAATCTGGGAGAGCAGCTTTCTGTCCTCTGTAGGTTCTAGTGGTTCGCCGTTTACAAACAGTTCCAATTTGCAATGAATCCCGGGTTTTATCCTCCTTAAAATGTACTTCCTGAGCGAAGCCAAAGTGTCATTCGAATGCGTGTATAGCTCCAAATCTTCCACCTGCCTATTAGGACTAGAAAACCTGACAATGAGGGTGAGATGCTTTCCGTGACATGCCCTATGCAATGGTAGAATTTTCCTTTCTCCTACGAAAGCATTGTCGCACTCACAAATATATTCGTGTAAGACTTTTAGCACCCTACAGATTTTTACAGCTTCTGCTTTGATTCTGTTTTGAATTTGATCAGTATCAAAATCCTTATCGTTTGTAGATTTTTGAAGGATACTTAAAGTATCATAATGAGCACGTAATCTATCGTAGCAATCAGTAATATAATTTTCGTGAAAAACTAATTGCGATTGGGACAGTCTAGGGCCTAAATTCGTACTAACTTCTTTCAGTAATTCAATAGCTCTATTAGCTATATCGTTTGCGCATAGAGTCACCACTTTCCACAAATACTCCAGGCCTATTAAGTCGGGATCTTCAGTTAGTAAGGACCTCCTTTTATACCTGACTTTTCCTTCTTTCATATTGACGGCTTTAAAGAATCGTTCAAAGCACTTAATGCCGCTTTCAGTTAACAAAACCGGATCAATTTGCAAAATGTTGTTTTCGAAAAAGTCCTTATTAATACCGGGATCTAAGTCGGGTTCGTCTCCCATCAATTTAGAAAACCATTTAAAGCATGCCTCCCTATCACTTTGGAACACCGCGTTCTCCGCCAAGCATTGCCATATCTGCTTCGCCTGTTCCGCGCACAGCCACAATTGTCCGTCTTTGAGGAGAAATCTGAGGAAATTCAGTCTTTCTTGAACTTGCAAGGCGTGGCAGTACCTGCCGTCCGGTATGTAAGTTTCACTGGTTAATTCGGGATTTTCTTTGAACAATTCCCTTAACCTATCCATGTAGTTACAAAGGCTGTTAGTTACTAAGATTACTAGAGAGTGTTGATTCTGCAACCGTTCTATCACCTCCTGTCTGTAGTAGATGTGGTGAGTGCGTTGGGTGTGACCGCCATTCGTGTTTTGCTCATAGAGTGTACAAATTTCTCTGATCTGCTTCAAAGCCGGTAATTCCCATAGCTCGCCGTTTTTCAACTCTTCCACGCATTTATCCAACCAAACAGTCTTCTGCGCATCTCTTTCCTGCGAACAGCTGTAGTCCAATATCTTGACGTGCGCCGCGAGCGCTTGGTCCATAATCTCGGTCGGTACATCTTCCGCGTGGGCTAAATTCCAAAATAAAGTCAGCACTTTATGGGCCATGACGCCGTCTTTATCGTCTTCGGCGAGTCTTCTGATCAGTTCCAGCAGGCGTTCTCGCTGCCGCTTGGAAGCCGAGGTCCAATTGTTTTGGAAACATTCAAATAGATGGTCTAGTTGTTCGGCGCTGAAGTCCCACGCTAATTTCGCTAGCAGATCGTGTACGTTCTTGACGATAGCTTCGTGCTTGCCAACTTGGGCCGCCCAAACGGCGTCCAGATCGTCCAGACTTAACGCCCGTTCCTTTATGACGAACCTCAGGATTTTTTCTAGCTTCTCGACGTACTGCGGTTGATGTAGAGAATCTCTCAAAACTATTTCTAATACTTTATTTTCATTTATCCATTTGGCCATGCGTTCGGGCGTTAGATATTCTTCCTCCTCCATTCCGTGGTGCCTATTTGGATAGTATGTAACGCTAGAGATGACTTTGTTGATTTCGTTGAGTGCATTCATCTTTCCATTAAAACTGGATATTTGCAACTGCCTAAGTATCATCGTAAGTCTAAAACCCTCCAAAGTTCGTATCAATTCGTCCTGATTAGGAACCCTCGATGCTAAATTTTTGGATGCTTTGATAATGGCGGAAACTATATCGCTCTTTTGTTCATTTTTTGCCTCCTTCTTCAGCTCCTCGTCTGTTAACTTATCTAGTATACCGGGTATCATTTCTAATATAGGTAAAATATATTTATTAATAGTGTGTGTGGTTAAAAACTCATAACACAAACCGAAAGGCCTTAGCAGAGCGAAAACTATAGATATACTCAAGTTCTTTCCAGATTGGAACCTATCTAAGAGAATTTGAAAACCACCTAGCTCACCGAATTTGTTTATAAGATCTACCAGCCAACCCCGGGGGTTTCTCAGATCGTTAGAAGGCCTAGCAAACAGTTCTTCTTCAGACAAATTCGAAGTAGGACCCGCCGTGTCGCTTTGCCTTGACGAATTGAAGCTGTGGAACTTATTGTTTGGGTTTAGGACCATGGCGAGCAAATCCAAGAGTGGGAACCAATCGTGCGGTAACTTAACCACGCACAGTTCTATTAGTTTGAGGCAATTTTGAAAGATACACGCGTGTATATTGGGCTTCCAGCTGGACACAGCATCGTCGGTTAATATTTTCGTAAAAGATGTGGTTAGTCCTTCCCTGAAGAACCTTTGGCAAGGTTCCGATCTGGTGTCTAGATTCCGGCGGGCTAGGTCTATTGAGACTTTTAGTAGACATTCTAGTTCCTGATCTGCTAATACAGGCACTACCCAACGAAGGTTGGATATTTTATCATCTAGTGAAGCTAGTTTGTCTTTGGGAAAGTCCGGTTCGAAATCCTCATCTTGGATGTCTTCTGCATTGGTTTCTGATGGTCCAGGAGCAGGGCCCTATAGAAAATATTTTTATAAACTACAAAGTTGTATTTTTTTTTAAATTTGACAGTCACAATACAAATTATTAGAACACAAAATTAACAAGATTTGTGATGAAATTAGCTGAAAATTGATACTTCTGGATACTCCCTCGGGCTTCATTAAATCACTTTTACATTAAATTTTATGGTATCAAAAAAAACGACTTTACAAAAGTACAAGAAATTGACAGGATTCATTCAATTCATGTCATTAAATTATTAGAAAAAAAAAATAGGTATCTAATAAAAGTATAACTTTATTTATTTTTTTATTCGGGCATGTTGTGGACACCTTTTACAAGTAGACCAGTGCTTTCTTTTAGTATTAAAAAGTTTTGATTCTTTCAAAATTATATTAAAACAATTTGAATCCGAAAATCTGATAGAGAATAGGTATTTATTACAGATCTTACAATATAATTGTGGAAACCTCATTTTAAAATGATTGTGTATTTTATGTAATATTCTTAAAATACTACTTTTTTAAACAAATGCAACAGGTACCCCTAGGATGTTTAGTTATTGAAATAACCAATAAAATTGTTTTTAGTACCCCAGTAGAATAGTACTTTCTATTGTTACAATAAATATATACAGGATAACAATTTAAAGGACAGAAATTGAGTGTACATGGAGCTACCACAGAATTATGGGCTCAAAATAAATAATTGATTTAACCAAACTAATCTATATCAACTTGCTTCATTTGGCCACTGAAGGTCAACAAAATTAAATAAAAATATCTGTTTTTCTATTGTGATCATAAGCATCTCATAAGGGAGATGGCAAAGAACATTTTCCCTAATTGTTTTTTATCCTCACTTTTTGACATTTCTGGTATTAAAATAGGAAACCGATACCGATATATCGGCCATACATTTTGATTATGAATAGTTCACTATAAAACAATTGACTGATTATACCAAAAATTGCTAAAAAATCAAATCAGGTAAACCAAGAGGTACAGGACAACGTCTCTGACTCGATTTCTCAAGGTTTGTTTTGGAATATGTTTGAAGAAGTTATCCTCAGAAGACAGCAAGTAAATCACCACCATATAGGAAGAAGACTGATATAAAAAAAAATCTTTATTGTCCAAACAGGAGTACACCCAATTACAGGACAGCTTAAATACTAATAAGGCTGAAATAAATATATAATAATAAAAAATAAACATAAATAAGAATAATGAATATTATCCAAATTTAACAAAAATAGACAATCATGTAATGAAATAAAGATAAAAGAAACCAGCTAATTGATGACAATATTTTGATTTTAATCTTAAAATGATTTAATGAACATGAGAATGGGTCAATTCCTTTAGTATATACTGATATGATAAATAAAATTGAAGGTGACCTTAAAATTTACATTAAATTAGAGAAAATATCAAAAATTGAGATCCTTTGATTTGGTTGGCATACAAATAAGACATTTTATAAATATAATTTTGCAATATTTAGCACCTCCAAGTAGTATGGCTAGTGAACAGCTATTTTCTTCAGCCGGTCTTGTATAGGATGATTCGTTAAGAGTGGAGACCGGTCATATCTCAGAACTTGAAGTAGATCTCAAAAACAGGTCGAATTTTATTTCAACAGAGGCACCTTTCTATAGTATCCTCAACTGTCATATGTCACTCCTCTCTCGTCTGTCACTGTCACCAGTACAGTTTAAATCGGAAAAGTACCAAGTATGACAAAACCACGAAAAGGTAATTTTATGGGGAATTCAGTAATATGATCATCTAGCAGTACAAAAAACTTACATATTGTAAAGTGTGACACTTCATTTGAAAGCTAATTTTATGAGTAATCCAATGCACCACATAACATTTATCTAAATATCTCCATACTGCTCTTGCAACAAAATAAAGTTAGTAAATGTGCAATATTTTTTTCAAGTTCATTTTTTATTTAGTTAACATAATATTATGTAGTGTATTGAATTACTAATAAAATCAGCCTTTAAATGAAGTGTCGTCCTTTACAATTCGTAACAGTTTTTTATCCTAGAGGGCTAGAGGGCGTTAAAATGAAAAGTAACGCAATGAACAGTAATATTGCTAAATTTCCCATAAAATTACATTTTATAATTATAATTTGACTCATTGTTTGTAGGCATACAATCTAAAAACAGTATCATGTACTGGCGTTACTTTGATAGCCGTGGATTACTTTGATCATAAATTCACTTGCAGAGTTATCTTATCATTTTAATTTTCAAGTCTACTGGTATAACTACATCAGTCTAATCAGTCTTTGTGGTTGTACTGGAAGACTTGAAAATTAAAATGATTGAATTGGATAACTGCACAAGTGAAGTTGTGAGCAAAGTAAACTCCCTGTATCAAAGTAAGCTTAGTGCAGGGTAGGTACTTTAATTAATTTTTAAATAAACTGCAACAAATCATAATAAATGTTCTAAATGACCAACATTTTCTTGAATACACAGGTTTATTTTCCATACAAAATTAAAACGCCATCTTTGTACTGGCTCTGTCTTGTTTCTTAAAACTATAATTCCATTTTCTTAACTTGCATATCATTACCTAGAGTTAAATAAACTTAGATGTTATAAAGCACCCCTACAGAAAAAAATCTCAATGTGTTATGCAGGTCATTATATAGGAGCATCATTTCCTCTTCCTATCCATCATTCAGAAACTGCATTTGTTAAATTGTGTCTAACATTTGCTGTAAAATAGGGTGTTGCACTATAGTGCATTAACCACATGTTGTGACAAATTAATAGTGGCACATCTTCAAGTAAGGAAGGTAACGTTTTTTGTAAGAAATTTAAATAATTTTCCCAATAAACGATTTGGTATTACCAATAATAAAATATGTCAATAATTCCAGTCCATATATTATTTTTGAACATTATGTTGCTATTGGATTTCCATTAGCTTAAACTTGTCCATTATGTAAATTAGTTATGCCATATCTAGTAAAAGAAGCTATATCAGTAAAAAGAATTTGTTTTCATTTTGGATGCTCTCATTTTGAATAAATTCACAAAACACTACACCCATTGCAAGATCCATAGGAAAAAGTTATTGCACCTGCAAATATGGTAAGGATACATTATTTGTTCTTTTAGAACTGCATAAATAATCCTTTTGGGAACTGCCATGTTGTGTTCTACATATCTAGTACTGTGAGATCATGTTCGACTGCATTTAATATTTATTTCTCAACTTCTACAATTCTTGTTGTACATCCTCGATTCATATATATATTGCTTCAAATCTTCCACTTTCATGAAGTCGTCTTTAAATATTTGTAAATGTTGGTGGGACTTGGTAATTAGGAAATATCCCATATAAACTCCAAGACTTTCATAACCATTTCTGTTACAAAATCCGTATACCAAAAGCATATCAATTTGTTTATTGTATGTGTGAATTTGATTCATGGTAATAAATTTAAATCAATATCTGAGACTTATACTGACAACATAAACATACAGGTACTTATTATGATACACTTTTTATTAAAATGAGGACAAATCAATAAATCAATAAGTTTCAGTCAAAGCTCCTCTATTTACCTTTAAAACCCGGACATACATTGCAAAGAAACGTAGCGCGTAGCTATTTCGTAAAAGAACAGGCATGCGTTGCCTGGTGTGCTGTTGCCAGGCTGTGTAGTTTATCCCTATTATATTTAAAAATAGTTTTTACCAATAACTCACTAATATTAACAAGTTTTAATAATTAGAATAGTTTCTAGATATATTGCGATACATCAAGCGTCCCCACTAATTCATTTTTGTACCTATTGCAGTGTTTCCAACTCCAACGCATTGTGGGCAGAGTAGTTGCAATATTTCCCAAAAAATTTATAATAGTAGGTCTCTAATTATTAAAATGACTTGTAACAAAAGAAAAAACGTATAAAATGTGTACAAAGTAGATTAAGCTATTTTAACTGCTTTCAGCAGACTTTATATTTTAGCAGCACCTATTTTTACACCATTATGCAGGGCATTTTTGTACTTATAATTTTTACATACATACGCCTGCTAAATAACAACTTTGCAAATACTAAGATAAACTGTGGCAAACACCATTATTATTCCTGCAAATAAATGCAAGGATTTTAAAAGCGTTAAACGTGACACCACTGCAATTTAAAATAATCTTGTTTTTAAAAACCACGCAGTAAATTTGATAAAGCTGATAATAAAACATTATTTTAATATTCTCAGTCATTATGAGACCACAAAAAAGTTGGATATGTTAAGAAAGAATAGAGTAAAAAGTATAAACACAAAAGTGATATTGTTCAGAAACAAATAAAATTAAAAAAAAAAACGTAGTTTTTTTCAACGCCTAATACTAACGCAGGTTTATTGTTGTACAGTTCTACGTGTTTTCGGATTTTACAAAATTCTTATCGCCAGATCCGCTATAAGAAGTGTTCTATTCAAAATCCCTACCTTGTATATAAGTATGGTAACGCCTAATACTAACGCAGGTTTATTGTTGTACAGTTCTACGTGTTTTCGGATTTTACAAAATTCTTATCGCCAGATCCGCTATAAGAAGCGTTCTATTCAAAATCCCTACCTTGTATATAAGTATGGTAAATTTATTGATTTAATAACTTTTATAAATTTATTAGTGTTAAAAATCTGAATTGATTTAAAAATCTCTCATTTACTAATTTATAAAACTGTTCAAATGTGTTTTAAATAAATCTTGATTTACTTGTTTTTATTTTATTTAACATCTTTATATTGTAATAAAACTTGTATTATTCTTGGAAAAAATAGTATTTTTAAGTTTTTCACCTAGATTTCACTCAACTTCATACCCTTATTCCAAATCCAATTGGTTTTAAAGTTTAAACCATTATAAAGTTTATTGCACACCATATAGGTTAGTTTTTCATTATTTTTTTAAAATTAGTTATGATTTTATCTTTAATAAGATACGCCACTGGTATCGACAGACTTTTAGTTGCG